CACAAGCACAAACGAATGTATTATATTTGGAATTCGAAATCGAGCATTCAACAAGTACGAAGGTATCATTAGTTCATTCAAACGTCACACTGTACTCAAGACACCCATTACTCCTCCATTATTCTTCCGTTGACTGTGACCTTGTACGCTCGCAAGTTCGCCCATTGATTCCACTTGTATTTCCCTTGGCACGATCTTGGTATATTTCGATACCACGAGATCGCCAACAAATAAATCTGGTTACAATCTCCTTTCGCCTTCTGATTTTCTGGTACGCGCTCGTCTTGTAGTGTTGATCATAGTCCAACGCGACTCGATGCCAAACCACATGTCTGTCAGATCTGGATATTCTTCTATGAGACGGTAACAGACACTGGTATAGATACTGCAGGTGATTCGGTTGATGCTGTAGTTACTCAGAGCCACAATTTTGTCATCCTTCGCATCTTACTTGGTCAGGCTTAAGTTTCTAACCTTTCTATATAATCCTCAAAAGCTTCAGGATTTGAGTGTATGTTCAACTAATCCCTCACACGCTCCATACCAACGGCAATGTGAAAATTATAGGTATTTGAAGTGAGACTATATCCAAACAAGTATAAGATAGTAAGTCTCGGATTTTGGAGCTAAATTCATTCATCCGTTTGACTAAATACCGTTTCGGCATATTAGCTTATCCCAGTTCGTGATGAAAACAATGAATCTGATTCCTAAACTTAACCATCCACTATAAATCGTAACTCTAATTCCTCACACTGGTTCATAACCCTCATTTGGTCCTACTTATTAGTGGACAGTATCAATATCACTGCAGCACCGCTCAAAGGTCAGCCATAAATTATAGTTTCACCGTATTTGAATTAATATCCCACTCAAAACGTCTTCATAGGTGACAGGTATGACAAGATAGGTACAGTCAGCATATATAGCCAAACACGCTTTTATGGATGCCAATGAGATAAAAGAAAGATTTCTACATTACAACCTGTCTGAGTGTGGTGTTTTTATGAACCAGTGATTCTTTTGTATTTGGTGTTCGCCTGATTTCGGATTCTAAATACAATATGTTCATTTGTGCTACCCTACTTCTACAGATTCTAAATTACATTATTTCGGGAATTCCTAGTTCATATACCAATTCAAATACTCCTACTTATCTCATTGGCATTGCGATGGAGTCTGCGTTGGAATAGTTGGACATACATTCAAATTCTAAAGCTTTTAGAGATTATAATGAAGAGCTCGAAATCTGGAGCATGACCAAGGAAGATGTTGAGTATGTTATTATTAACGCTCACTTACATTCATCGGATAAGAAGCCTAGAGCTTATTAAAAATTTTGGCATTCTCACAAAAGCCTATTTCACTTCTTTAATAAACTCTCAATGAACTACTACCTGACCATGTAAAGTGAACAAATTTCGAATACTTTAAAGGAGGAATAGCTCATGAAATGACTCGTTAGGCCATAATTAATTCCACGACATTACTGCGTCATCTCAATCCAATGCATACTCATGTTGAGGCAGATAACAATTCATTGAGGTGTCGTGATGCAGGTCACGAAGCTAAGTACAAATTTAATAAATGTTCGTCCTGAAGCAAATCTTTCACATAAAATGCATATGTATTTTGTAATGCTGAACGCCCCGAATATGGTAAAACTGAACAAACACCGGTAGTTTGTGATACTGCTGTTCATTTCGCTCCAAGTAATGCTGAACTTTGTAATTTCGATCCTAGTAAGTTGAATGTTTCAAATGAATTGTACTTTGATTAGATTCACGATATCATTTTACTAGACATGCTTCGATCCAGAGGTTTATGTATTTCGAATGAAATTATTAACATTCATCTAAGTCAGCTCACCAAATCTAATGCGGTCAGCATTAAATGTCGAACACTTACAGAACTATTTATTTTAGGGGCTGGTTTACAGATACAGATTACTCTCTCCCTGGCGGGTTGGTGATGATTCTAGAGCGAGGCAGAGCAGAAGTCTAAACTCAACGAGTTCGTCGTTGATAAACAATCTTCTGGTGGTTTGTTACGTTCAGCAGCATCTGGTCGTCTTTCCATACTATAAGGGGCCATGTAGTACAATATAGTAACGAGAAACAAGTAGAGTGTAAATTTCGCATTACCGTAATCTCCACCGGTTTTTTATATTTTCCAGCCGTTCTTGAAAATAAAAAATTGATATACAAGTCCATGTAAACTGATATCGGCCATAAGCAATAAAAATATGTCCGAGAAAATCTAAGGAGTCGGTGACACTTCGACATTTTTGGATGTTTACAGTAATGCCTTGTTTTTGCAGCCGTTCGAAGGCAAGGTCCAGATGCTGGAGATCGGATTCTCTGTCTGGACTTGAGACCAGGCAGTCATCAACATACACATGTTTGACGTTGAGACCTCGGGAAACACCATCGATTAATCTCTGGAATGTTTGTGTAGCATTTCTTGACTCGGAAGACAAGCGCAAAAATTCGTGAAGTTTAAACGGGGTGATGATAGCGGATTCAGGAATATTGTCAGGAGACATGGGAATTTGGTAATAAGCCTCAACCAAGCCGATTCCCAAAAATACGGTTATACCTTTCAAGGCCACTGTCAAATCCTGAATGTGAGGCGACGGGTGACGATCAGGAATGGATTTGCACTTAGTCGCCGATTGTCATCAGTTGGACGCCAATCATCTCTGTCCTCTTTGGAGATCGTGCGCAAGAGAGTTCCCATGGGCTGTTTGATGGCCGAATGATCCCTAAATCTATCATGTTATTGAATTCATTTTCAGCCAACCTCAGATTTTCGTACGCTATTCGGAGCGCCTTCGAGAATACAGGTGGTCCTGTGGCCGTGATTTGATTTGCAATATTGCTGGCTACCCATGGCAATTTTGGTTGCGTTTGGTATTGCTTGGGGTACTTATCAAGTAATTGTTGGCATTATGGATCGATCGTGTGTCTTACTGTGACTGGGGATGATCCCCAACCGGAAAATGAAGTTACACAAACAAATAATTCAGTATTGCCATCTACTAACTTCGTGTCGATGAGCAGATTATGGTGTTATAACAGGTCTATACCAATGGTTGGCATAGGAATATCTGCAACAATAAAGGTCTGGTGGACGGGTTTGTGCAGACCAAAGTTAAGATAAACACACCGCTTACTATATGTGGCGATCGGTTTCTGATTTGCCACATGTAAGTTGTAAACTGCCTCACGCAGTTAGTCGTTCGAATTTGCTGGAACAATGCTGACGTCTACACCAGTGTACAGGGACCAGCGGAATTTAGGGCCCTAGACATTGCAGGATTTTCTGCTATTTAGGGGAGATTATTCATATATATAATGGTACCAGCGCCAACTGGGGCTATCTGTCCCTTGTGATCAAAAGTCAGATCATTTTCGTGAAGTACTCCTTCAGGCAGCAAAATAATGTATCAGATTATGACAGTTCTGTGACGTCATTTATTGTCGTTTGAAGTTTTTATTTGATTGAACAGACCTTGGTTCTGGAAGCTCTGTTCATCTCAGGAATCCGGTCGGCAGATGTAGCCAGTTCGTCCACAGTGTTATTTTGTAATGATACCAACACTGTCCACTCCTAACAGGGAAGCTTGGACAAGGAGAGTAGTCTAAACCGGCCCTCATCAAAGGTCTATTGACCCCTGACATGTCTTTTGCCAAGTTCCATTGCAGCTCAGTGATGTTGGATGCCTATGTAGATCGATCACATGACGAATAGCCTTTGTCAACGTTTCGTCAGGTTCTGAAACATCCCCAATAAACATTTCGGGTGAAACATACCTGTTGACTTCGTGTGGCAGTGCCTTCACTACTGCAAGGAATTGTGCACGTGGGTGTGAAACTCCATGCCCGTGAAAATCAGCTCTGTAGCTGAACCAGGCGGCGAAATTTTCGGGCAAGTATGGCACTAGCTGAAATGAGGGTAACGTAAGAGATCTAATCTTACATAATTTGGGATTTTTTCCGTCATGAAATATATAGAAAACACCAGTGAATGAGGAGAAAATATCCAAAAATTTGTATCCAAATAATAGCGATATGTAAAAATTAATGTTAGAAATTGATATATAAAGTTCCAAAAAGAACATACCCACAGTTTACGAATAGGTGTACCAGATCATATCGGGCTTACCACTAAAGATGACACAAGTATTCGGATCTTGACAACACACTAACTGGTAATACCCTTTCTAAACAAGACGTGCCAATTCACTGAAATTAGAAGCTTGGAATGAACGAGTTCGAAGATATATTTGTAAGGCTATATGTATTTCTAAGGAATGTTGCGCTAATAGTTAAAAGGGATATGTAGCACGACGTACCCACCCGTGATCTGGTACGGATGCTCGATGGAGTGCCTTCAGCTAAGTGAGTCCATTGAAACTAACACAGTCAGCATCAAATGTCGAAAACTTACGGAACTATTTATTTTGGGGATTTATTCACCGCTACACGTCATTGCAGTAATATATTAGTATGAGTAGGTACAAGAAGTATATTGTGACCACAGTTACGTGGGTCAGTATAGGATGCGCAATTAAATAATGCACGTTGATTGTTAATTTCTTTGATGAATGTAGGTAAAGTGTTAGATATTCAGTGATCCAACTGCTAGGTGACATTTCAGAGGCAGTACAAGCTAAACTGCTCAGTAGTAGGACACTTGCTTGCAACATACATAGTCTATGGTTGATGGTCTTCAATTCTTTAATACAAAACATTATCTGTATCCTTATATGCATTTAAAAGACTAACACTGTAAATCATCTATTTAGAAGATTTCAGACTGGTTATTCGATTCACACGGAATGCTAGGATCCAGGGCTGCAACAAGTATGAAAAATTGATTTTCCTGAAATCATTTACGACTCCGTGATCTGTTAATCGCAATCACTGATTCTGACTTTGTACATATCTGCATGTGATGTTAAAAATTGAAACTAATATATCTAAAGCCGCTTGTATAATGGTGGGAGGTTTACATCTCAAGGTCGTCTGACAGACTTTATACATGTAAATAGTCCGTCCAATTTTGCTTCTTACTATAATTTGATCGGTTTGTTCCCAGCAACTAGTTGGCTGTTGTACTCCTTACCATCTTCTTTAATTCAATACCTTTTCCTGTGTCATCAATTTTAGAATAACGTGAAATTTCAAACTTTTACCCAAGGAACCGAAGGAGCAGAAATAAAAACGAACAAGGGATAATTAAAGGGAACATTCCGTCATAAAATTAAGCAGAAATTAAGAGGGATTTCTACGTTTTTGACTCAGCTGACTACAGCCTCATTTCTTTGAAGTCATCAGTCTCCATATATCAGCGTACAGAAATATAGATGCATATCTAATGTCTTCAGTCAGGGAGTTAAAGTAAGTAAAATTTTGGTTTCACTGAATTCGCTATCATTGGTTTAATTGTATTCATTTGTGAACTTTCCATACTAAGTAGACTTAATCATATTCATTCAACGAACTGGCTTATTTGTGGAGTCGTATTCTAGGGTCCCCACTAGTTGGTATGCATCTAAGATTATAATCATTCGATTGTCAACTGAGGCTCTGAAACAACGAAGCATCTCCGTTTCTAGCCTGGTGTGAAGTTTTTCCAGGCATTATATTCGATACATCTTGTGTGTGCATCGAGGCCATACTGTAGGCTTGATTTAAGTACCATAGTTCACTTAGTGGATGTTTCGATTGGCAAGTAGAGTAAAAAAGTGAGCATTTCGCTTTTGACTATATTGCTCCGATTCTTAGTACAATACAGATGCTCATGTCCAGTTATTTTCTGTCATGATTACGGATGAGATCTATCAGGTATTTCCAGTTCCCCTATTATTAGAAGTTAGCATGTTTATTTATCTATAATTCGTAATCTTATCAAACGTTGTAAACATTCGATTCTATCCGTGATGTTTATGAGTTCAACAATGGTATCTATCTTGGCTTATAAAAAGTTATTTCCAAATTTATGGTTTATTTTGTGTGGAAATGTTCTTTATCATTTTACTGTAGAGAATCACCAGTGGCCTCAGCTCAAGCGTATGTTTTACAGTTTAACACTGAAGACCGAATATGGCTACCAAGTGGTGGGACACGCTCACTTTCATGGGTTCAAATTTTACAACAAAAAGGTTTAGATGCTTATCGTATCGTAGGTTGGCGTCAGCCAGATAATCAGGTAGGTAATATATTTTGCGAAGTTTTAGATCTTAAGAAGAGCATAATGAAATGCTACTAACGTTTCCTATCATATATGTCCGTCTTTTTTGTTTTGCGTTACGTATTTGCGTAGCAGTATTTTAAAAAATATTCTGGTTATACGAATTTCAGCTTATTTTATGTAATTCGCCTGATTTACCACGCATAGTACGATTCAAAGCTTTCGTTTTTTGGCTAGATAAACATGAAATCAAAGAAAACCAGTTACAACACGCGTTTTTATAATCTAAGTTTATTGCAACAAACACATGTAAGAAGAATGAAGTTTCAGCGAATAAAATTTTCGATGATACCATTTTCTGAAGATGTACAATGGCATTTATGGGTAATTTTTTTACATATAGTAGTCTATAGTAAAATAGAGGTGTTTACAAAATTATCGAAGACAGTCAAGCTTATTCAATTGGAGGTCAATCAAAATGAAATGGTGTTGTTTAATATAGTCGAGGTTGTCAAAATCCTCAAGTATTTCAAGACTCTACTAATTCTCCTATTTTCGCTTATCTTTATGAATAACGTGGCACTTCTCTTTTGTACAGCTAGTATTATGTTCATTTGTGTCAACTATTAATCCCGTAGTGTTCATACAAATTTAGTGGTGTAGTGAAAAATAACTTGTAAAGGTACTAAGCGCCCAGATTTCAGTTTAATATTAAAAGCTGTATTCCACCTACTTTACGTGGTAGCGTTGGAAACTGGTAGCTCAATTTTATCTACTAAAATATGGATCTAAAACTCTTTTTTCTTTTAACTAGTTATATGCATTTTTTGTTCGTTGCATGCTCCTTTTTTAACTACGTTAAATTGTAGTAATAAAGATTTGTACGGTAAGAACTCTTGTTGAGAAACTATGGCTTTGTACTTAAATATTAGGTCTCAGGTTTAAATAGCGCTGCACCTAGTATGGTTTGACCAGCTGTTGGGTATGTGAAGCTCCCAAATACAACTTGTGAGTAAAAACCCACTATCTATTATTGGCGAATGTAAAATCAACTTTCAATACATTTTCATGACATTGATTTATGGGAGTTCAATGCGTTTTCATTGTACTTCATGTTTAGTATTAGTTACTCTTCATAAATTGTAATCATTAAAACCAATAATGTAATCGATTAACTTATATGCATTTTTAATTCTTCTGGGGTCATCATCGGCATGGCTTTAATTACGAAACTGAACGTCATACTCTGGTTAGCAGAACAGTGAATACATGAGTAGTTTCGTTCACTATATTGAGGTGGGAGTTGCGAAATAGTGTTTTGGTGCACGAACATATCAACAACGGAGTAATATCCATAGTTCCTATTCAAACAGCATGACTCAAAGCTGAGTACGTAAACCTGAGCTTCACTGCATCAGGTGTCGGCGTTTCATAATGAGCTCTTAAGTATATCATACGAATGGTGTTTATAATACAATCGTGCACCTAGTGATCCTGTGTGTTTGATAGTGGGTTCACATTTTTTGAATAGTTGTAATGTAGAAAAAAATTGTTGTTTATCGCTCCCTAAACTTTTTAATGGTTCTTCAATCGATAATATCCTATAATAAAAACGATCCTATCTTAATCGAGTTCAATTCAGAATCATACGGCTACTACTAAGTAAAATGTTGAATTTCACAAATTTTATTACTTTTTTTCATTACCATCTTGTATTGATCAGTTCTTTTAATGTTTCGTGTGTACATATGTACTTCATTACTATTTATTCAAATGTACAACGAATAGTAATTGTTGCTAAAAAAGTTTGTAAAACCTAACTATTTGTATTGGAATATTATCATCAAATAGTGATTAACATCAAGCTCATTACATAATACTGTTTTGCTTTTAAGTAAATGATTAAGGATAGTAGGACCGGCTTATAGGTTGTAATAAAACTGAGACAGTATTCGGATGTTAGGGTGCATGCTCGAACTATATATAATATTTTAGTGAACGAGAACTCAAGTGGGGACACTCAAATGTATTTCAACACAAAATTACAAAATCTCTTAGTAAAATCTGAGATCCATACAGTAAATTTCTCATTTGCAAAATGTCATTCAGTTATCTCGGAATTGACTGACTCTTCTTTTCCACACCAATCACTCTCTGTTCTTGTTCTTTTCTCTTCGATCTTCTTAACCTTCTGCCGCCAAGTATTTCACTTTCAATTGATGATACATAGTACTTATATCTATCGACATCAGTAGCACACACCACAATATTATTCAAACTAGACAAAAACTGGATGGCAACACATATTAAACAATCTGTTAAAATGATGATAACAACGAAGTACAAGCATGAAGTCATGCTTATAAACATGTTATTTTATTACATGAAAAATCTCTTACGGCTAGTGGTTTTGTCTTTGATCTCAAATCATTCATCAACAATACAGCCTCGGTAACGGTCACTACTCAACCTCAACATATTATTGCGATAGCATCATTTATCAACTAACATTCTTTCTTATATTTTAACAGTCACCAATTCGCTTCATCAGAAATCGTGAAATCCTACTCTCTGACAGGTTTAAAGTCGTAAGCTTTCTTTTTTTATTATGAAAAGCATTTGACCCAGAGAGTATATGATCTGGTAAACAACTAACGTCTAATCTACCTTTGAATTATCTTCTAGTTACATTTGGTTTAGCTCAGTCCTTCTATGTCACCAAAAGATATGTCCGCTTTCCAGGAGTAATGGGTGAACATCCTGGTAGACCTGAACAGATCGATCTATCAATCTGTAGTTAAATAATCAAATCAAAAGTGTTGAATCCATACTAAAGCATCTAGTTCTAAAGGCATGATAGATGAAGTTCCGGATAACATATTCTTATTCGACCACATAACAGTAAATGCATCAGACTTCATACCTAAATACTTTAAAGTATTTATACACTTCATTTTTCCCTGAATAAATTAGAACAGGTTCTTATTCTCCGAGAAAACGGTCTCGAAACATTACTTATTACAATCTCAAATAAATATTCCTCTTTTTTTCTTGTTCAATTCAGCAAGAAATATAAGCACTCGTTGTATTTAATGTTAGTTTTGTAATCAAATTACTAATTCACAATCTCCTACTGGTTTTGTTGTTTATGTTTAACAAAGTGAATAAGTATTTTGTCTTCCTTCATCCACCTACATTGATTTGATCGTCTATCTTCTTGTTTAACTTATGTATGTGTGTATAGTTTTATTTGTCATATAATTGTAAATTTTAAGAAGAGCAACACAGATTTTCTATAAGTTTGCCTAAAGGGAAGACAACATTTTATGCATTAAGCGTAATGGAATTATTTAAATAACATTTACAATTTATTTCAAATAAAAGGCATACATGAATAAATATCTGAATTTAGTGATGGTATTTTGTATTATCCGTTTATCGTTGCACAACCACTAAAATGTATACTTTGGCAAACTTTGCAATGCATCATTGAAATTGTTTTAATGTACATGTGTACGTGTGTGTGTGTGTTCATATTCATTAGAGTAGATTTTGTCCTCTTTCCGGTTACTGTGATTAACTAATAATGGTATTTATTGTTTTTTTTGGACAGGAGGGATAATGGTAAATTCGTTGTTGTGTGTAAAAATAATTATTGGACTGTATTAATCACATACTGGGATGTCATTAATCAGTTGTTTTTCCTTGCTTACTTGTTCAGTTACAGATTCACTATTTATCCAGTAATAAGTATGGGCATAAAGATAGCTTTAATTTTGTTTTCTATTCAACCATCGTTTTATTTTTTCTAAGACAGATTAATAATAAATACTAATAAACAAATGTAATCAACTAATCTAAATAATGTTTACCTGAATTTGATTGATTGTACTATTTTCCGACATGTACTACGTGTGCCTAATCCTACCATATACCTTGACGCGTGATGTTTGCTAGTGTAGGACCAGGTTGGAAAAAAGCTAGGAGATCACCGAACCGGGATATGACACCAGCTCATGAAGACACTGACGGTTAGACTGAGTCCTATTGGTAGGTTCGGGTTGTTTAGTTTAGGTCTCGTGGTAACCGGGATCAGTGGTCGGAGACGTTGAATGACATCGCTCAGAATCGTTCACAATAGCGCCGACGCATCCGCTCTTTGTTTTAAAATACTCATACTTTTTAATTTAAATATCCTTTTTGTCGAATGTTACTGTTTTTTGCCTTTTACCACTAATGCTGTTACTACTTTTATTAATCTGGGATTTGTTTCGATAACTTCATCTTGCTTTGACTATATGTTGTGGCAACTTGAACCTATGGTGCGCGTAATTACCAGGTTCTGTATTCCTCAGGACTGATTGTGTTATTTTAGTTGGAATATGTTTATATTTACATTTCTACCTCAGTTAACAGAATATTTGTTCGCTTAATGATTAGATCATTTGCTTTCCAACCACTTAAATCTCAGGTTTAAACTTCACTTCTATTGGAGCAACTGCAATAGTAATCCTCGCACACACAACTTAAAGTCAGGTACACCAATGATTTTTGCTAATATTGTCAACAGTTGGATACTTAAAAGTTCTATAGATATTGTATTAGCCCCATTTCGTATCTCCTAACATGTTGTTGGACTGTGGATAGTTATTAAGTTAGAGAGACTACTTTTCGTTTGTCTAAATTGTATTCTTAATTTATGTACTCTTTAATACTTAACCGAACACTTGAACAATATACTCTATGTTTGTTTTTCTTACGGATTGATTATGGTACACGTGATTATATGCTAATTTTGAGTTCCACCTACTGTTTGGTTGTTACTGAAGTAGGCTCAACCTTAGAACCTCGTATCTGGCTTTGATACCACGATATCAGTAGTAACTAATTTAACAACGAGTTTAGCCTAAGTTTAATTGTAGTAAGATAGAGTTCTAGTGAAATTCTTACTATGCTGTATAACTCCTGATGTTGATCTAGGCTAAGTGTGACATATAAAGAAATTTATAAAAAAATTT